GACTCTCTCTCTCTCTCAATTACCACAAATAAAATCAGAAAAAACCAAAAAAATGCTATTTTCATCAATATATTAATCGATGAGTTTTACTGTTTTATCACCTTTTTAGTATTTTTTCTAAACCATAAATATACATTCTTAACAGTTCTTACATATACTAAATTTTAAAATATTATTTGATTTTTTTATTAATGAGATGAACAATTCCTATACGGCTATACGCTACAGTTGTTATTTGATTTTAGTGAGATTTCAGATCTCATGGTATTGATAATACTTCAATTATTGCAAACCTGAGTTTTTTTTTCCTTTTTAAATTTGTATCATTAGGTGTCAAGTGGACCATTCATTTGTATTTCTATGCTTCCTACCAAAATCCAGACTCAATCAATATATATACAATTATCATTTTTAATTTAAAATTGTTCCATGAAATAGGTGGATATCACAAGTCTTATAAGTTTAACTATTATAGAAAATGAACCTTAATTAATTTTAATTTCTCTTTAATAGATTGCGACAATAAACTTTACATCACCTTGCATAACTTTATATAGAAAAATAACGAGTTTTCTCCATTTAGTATTGTAAAGTAGATATTGCTTCGGGTCCAAGTATATTTGTCAACATCTCACAAAAAGCCAAATAACCAAAATTAAATTCATACAATAATCCAAATTTATAGAGCGTAAGAGAATTACAAGGAGCCACGTTTTGTGTTTGCCGTGGCCTAAACGTGTCTGCTTCACATCAATATAAATTTTCATTTTTCTTTCCACATATATTATAAACTTTTTGTGTATTCAACTTCTTTTGTTAAAATCTGATTACCTTTGTATATAAAGAATATAAGATTCAAGATTACATAAACAAATAGCCATTTTTATGGGCTACAAGTGTTAAACCAGTATATAGTTGTAGTGATTAATCTTCTTAATTCTTGTTCTAAACTAATCATATTTGAAACGGACTTTAAATCACTTTGGGCCTTACTTTGGGCCTTTGCACTTTGGTGGTGATGACCCAAATCTTACAAAGAGTGTCAAAATGTTGTTGTTAAACAGTGGGATTCTACAGATCAAACATTCATAGTTTTCATGAAAAAATACAGGCTTCAATTTCTCAAGAAACTGGTTTCAAATCTTATCGAGCATGGCTTTGAGATGTGGTTGAAGATGATTTGTGGTTGTACTCATTTGAACCACATACGATAGTTTCCCATTAACCAATTCAAATTCTCTGCTTATCTCCTTCACCTGTTG